GGGCTTTGTGAAGTGATTACTCTATTTCTGATTGAAATCCTATCTTCTCATCTACCAGACAAGCCCTGTGAGAGCACGTGATTGGACTTACGTGGCCTGGACTTACGTGGCTGCCACTGAGGGCCTAAACACAACCCCTGCTGGCTTTAGTGCCAGCTGCCTGATAAGAAAGGAATGAATCCAACTGAATGCTGAGACTCAAGGCTAAACGTGCCGAGCAACACCGCTTGTTATGGACATCACCATAGCAATGAGGTCCCCAGGTCCCCTTTTAAGGTAAATAAATAAATATGAAAGTAGATAACCTCAAGTTTTCTGCAGCTAAGACTGACAGAGGCAGAAAACACCTTGACACACTTGCTTGGCTGGTTGGAATTTGGGGTGCCTGGGGCAGAAGGGGATTTCTGTGCCGTCCAGTAGCTGGTTACCTCCCCTGCCAGGACCTGGGGCAAAAGCATCAGTTACAACCCAGGAAAACGGCTTCCATGCAGTTGCTTCCTAACAGGAGATTAGCAAGATGCACACTCCCCCTCGCACCTCCTCTCCTGCAGAGTCCGGCCGTGACCAATGCAGCTGGAATTAAAAGCACTGCTGCAGGGAGGAGAAGAGATGAGGATTCCCTTACCCTTTCCTGCCTTTGTGCAGACAGCATTTAAAACAAGTGTTTTTAATTTAATAGGGGAATGACTCAGTACAGCAGCTCTGACAGGGTGGGGATCCCAGTTAAACAACAAAAAAGAACCAGCTTTATGATGCATTGGCTGCTATTCAGTCGCCTGTATACAAAAGGCTTTTCTTCCCCTGGCCATTAGTGAAATGATTCAGCAGGGAAGCTGCCTCCAGCCTGCCCAGCCTTCCTCCTCCTCCGCGCCGCTGCTGCTGTTTGCTCCCAGGGCTCAAAGGCCACTGTATTCCCCTGTTACTAGAGGAACGTTACACAAACAGGAACACACATTTGAAAATGGGCGAGTGCTGTAAAAATAAACTGTGACTGCTTTAGAGACCAGCAAGCAAATTATGGAAGATAGTTTCAGCTGTTTTTTTGTTGTTGCTCTTGCAAGCAGATAAGTGTAAACAAGCGGGCAGGGGGACCAGCCTGCCTGTGTGGGACAGCAGATCATGGCAGCGTGTGGCTTCCCTCCGTGCCAGCTCAAATTCATGCAAACACAACGTGGGGACAGCGGCTGCGCTCAGCCTTAGTGCTTGCAGAATATTTTTGCTATGCTGTTGTTTACGACTTAAGGCTTCTAGTCACAACACGAAGGGGGTCACATATCTCGCTGTATCTGTGCCTCTTTCCCCTCTTTCTTCTTATTATCTCTCGCCTTGGCCCACTCTTGCACTCTGACCTCTCATCAGTATTTCTGCATTCCTCTAAGAGCAAAACTTACAGTAGCTCCATATTAAGGATCTCTTACTGCTTCCCATCCATGCCTCTCATCTGGTTTGCTTTTGTGGGGCAATACATGGTGCCAGGCAGAGTGAGCACTAACAAACGGAAGCAAGGCCCTTACTCAAAGCCCCATCTTCTCCCTAGACCAGCAGGCACGGCCATGTGTTTGTCCAGAGCACAGAGTTGTCCCATGGGGTCTTGAGGCAGTGGAAAAAAATCAGGTAGCAACCTGTTTTCCTGATGAGAAGGAGCAGTCTGCACACCCTGTTGAAGGGAAAGGAGTGAAGTAGGGAGGAAACCACCTTGCTGGAGGAAAAGGCAACGTAGACAGGTTCCCATCCGCAGCAGTAGCCGTGCAGCTTGTGCCTCAGCTTCTTCACCAGCCATGGCAGCTCTGGAGTGGTGCTCCCTACCTCTTTGCCCGTCCCCAGGCCAAACAGACCCGGCACTTTGCAGCTGGGATAGGAGGCAGCTTTCCCTCTTGCTCACACTTCACTAATAATTTGCTAATAAATGTCAGAAGAGCTTGACCTCAAGCTCTTCCCCCTCCCCCCCCGCCAAGTGCTATAAAAATATATAGTAACATTAAGGATATGGGAATTATCCCAACACAGTTGCTTACATGCCTATAGTTGGAACTTTTATATTCCTGGTTACCTATAGGTGGCCTGCTGTTAAAAATAAATAAATAAATAAAACGAACATGTCATTGCAGTTCTGTTCTTCCAGTTACAAAGCTCCAATACTTGCCTGGCAGCTCTCAGCACTTCTGCCTCTGAAGCTGTTGATTTAGCTGGATTTAGCAACTGCTGCCCCAGGAGGCCAAGCAGATGTATATGGCACCCAAGACGATTCAGCATGGTCTGAAGCAGCCCCTCTGCTGGGTTTAAAATATTAGACTGTATCCTTACGCTGTTCAAAGTCATCTGGCAGATTCATTATCAACTCTGAAGTGATGATTATCATTAAGGTAAATGAGATCACAGGTGTTTCCGTCCTTGTCAGCATTTATCTATGCAAATGTACAATACTGTCAGATAATGGATTTTTTTAATGTATTGTTCTTGTGATGAGCATAAGAACATGGAAGAAAAAAATCAATATTTACCATTCAGCTGTAGATTGTTTTCTCCTGTGATTTGTAGCAATCCTTATAATAAGCAAAACAACAAATACCTTGGGAACATCAACTGTTAAACTACATAAGTTTTGATACTTTCTAATGTAATCCACTTACAACTGAGCTTACTTCCTACAATAAGCTTGTTAAAAAAAAAGTTCTTCTCAACTAGAACAGAAGTATTAGCTTAAGATGTTTTACATGTTCTCATCGTATACAGCAGGACCAATTTACAGAAAATAATGTGTACTTGGCTGGCTAGGACACACACAAGAAGGTTTTAGCATGTCAAACTTATACTAACTTTTACATCAACTATTTAAAATCAGAAGATTAGATATTTATGTTAAAATATGCAATATGGTAAATATGCATATGTGCATATTTATGTATCCTTCAGTTGAACATCCATACTGTGGATAATTAGACAAAATCTGTTAGCAATTTTTCCTCTGTAGAAACATACTACAGTACTCTCACCATTATTTCCAGTCTTCACAACAGTGGCAGTGAATTAGACCAATACAAACAGGTACACTTACAATTCGGCTTTCCACGTAGTAAAATCTTTTAATTAAATTAGGAGGGGGAAAAAAAAAACCCACAATACTTGATGGCACACCCAAACACACCCATTTGCACCCAGTCTGACTCATTTCAAAATAGGCAACAGTCCGAGACAAAACAATTGTCACTTAGCTTAATAATTTTTGCCAAAGGAAATGCCACAGTCAGGAAGCTTCTGTGTTCTGAATTCTGATGATGAAAGCCTAACAAAGTGAGAGGTCTTAACATGGGAAGGAAATCTCTTTAAAAAGTGCACATAGTCCTAAATTCAAAGTAGTTATAAAAGATGTACCTAGTTCTAGGCAAGTGAGGTGAGGCAGAGAAAACAATGTAAATAAGAGTTTTATTTTATAAAAGGGTAAGATTCCAAAATATTACTGTAATGCAAACTGCAGATATAAAAGACAAGCTCATAAGATTATGCAAGCCTCCACATTCCTATGCAGCCTGGCACAGAGCCAAAAAATGTTCCTGTTTTTCCTAATGGCAGCACCTGGCAAAAAACGTGTAGTTAAACCTGGTTTACCTGTAGATGAACTGCAGAAACACACTAAGTGATGACTTTTGCATTTGCATCTGTATCCTCTCAAGTACCTACCTCTTCCTTTAATGCATTACACCAGTTGTTAAGTGATACAAAAGACAACTAAATTCAAAACTTCAAGCCAAGTAAGAGTTGCAAAGAAAACACTCCTATTCCTGCTTCTTAGAAACACTGGTTTAAGCTGTGAGGCTGTGGATGAGTGAAACAAGAGCAAACTACTGCACATTCCCAATCACATTCCCAGACTGTTGCAGACAGTGGCAATCTTTATGTTTGTAAACAGAAACTCAAGAAATCTCTCATGTGAATGTGCAGATTCATGATATATAATACATGATAATATATACACATTAGCCCCTGCTAACAGCCCTTACTCTTCAGCAGTTACTGGTCACTGCAAGAAGTCATAAAACAGTGCCGTGTTGGTCAACTCCTGCCAAACACTCCTTGCCAACAGACCAACAGACTACGGACATTTCAAAAACAAAGGCCTGACAAAGCTAGATGTGACAACCTACAAAAGGTACAAGGCAGGTCACTGTTTACATAAAAATTACTCAGGTCTCTCCCTTGTTCAAAAACAGAGGAAAGACTCAGGGTAAAACACAGAACATGCAAAAGCACCTCAACTTCCTGCAGCACAAGTCTTCTCTTACAAGGAGACAGTGATGGCCTGACATTCATTTTTAGGCACTCATATTACATATCCCACACTTTTGGCTAGTTCAGCTCGTTCTGGAACTGCAGCACCTACAGTTTATGACCACTTGCTTCTGTACCAGGGTAAACAAGACCTATTTTATGCTTCCTAAAGCATAAAATAAAAGAGAGGACAGCTTCAGGTAAAGAAGAAACCAACACTATCATGCCTGGATCGCTCACTATACTAAATGACACCTGCTAACACTGCAGCTTGATAATAAAATAGAAGATCCCAGGATTAGGAAATACTGAACCCATGATGGACTTCCCCTGATATTTCTTCCATTGTTTGGAGTCCCTAAAATTAGGTGCACTTGCTGGAATTCTTCCTTTTGTTTTGAATATGCCTTACTTTCCATGAGTTCCCTTCCCACATATTCTAGGACTCCAGCCATCATACATCATCACAAATTTCTGCCTACCTCTGGGTCTATGCTACAAGTATCAATGCTCTCCTGCCTGTGTGCTCTGGAAGATCTCAATTCAGCAAACTGAATGAAGTCAGGAGATGTGCAAAAAAACGCAGACCAGAAGTTTTTATTGACTGAAATTTCCCCACTTCTTTTTCTCAGCAGGAAAATCATGGCAACAAGAAAAAAAAATCCACACAAAAAAAGGAAACAAAAAGTGCTTCTGTTGCAAATAATATTTTCTTCTTGTCCTTATTCTTATTTTGCAGAGTCTAAAATGGTAATATTTTCTTTCTTTTTTTTTTCTTAGAGCATAGCATCAGTCATTCGTTTCTTCTTTAACATCTGTAGAAAAAAATCATAATAAAATCTGATCTCAGATAACTCAGAATTACCAGATTCAGAAAAAAAAAAAGTCAACCCCCCCCCCCCCACACTAATTACTTCCGATGTGATGGAAGGTAGTTTTGTTTCTAAAAGAAAAATCTGAAATGGGAAATTGAAACAAAACTCTCCCCTTCTCCTCCTCACTCTGCTGAAGAAGTTCTGCCTTGAAGAAATGTGTATGTCTGTTGGAATATTATGAAAAATAAAAACAATTCCACGTAGTCACTTGGCTCATAGCACTGCATGTCTGAACAGAGGGCAGAACGTTGCCATCTCTTTTACTGACCTGTGCATAAGTGCTTATCACTGAAAAGTGATCAATCTGAGAACATGGCGATAGGGTCATTAGGGTTATCTTTGGCAGGAACATATGAATTTCCCTCCCCCTCAAAAACTGCACTCCCATTCATGCCAGTTTTGATCCTATAGCTACATCCAGAGCAGTTACTGCAGCCTTGGACTTTTTTTCTTTATCCCTCTCTCTTCTCCATCGAACTCAGCAGGCCTTTCATTTACCAACAACGCTCTCTGCTTTGTTGCTGTTGCTGCTGCTCTCTACTTCTTCATTGGCAAGTGATGTCAGCTCCGGCTCTGCTCTCTGGTCTGGCGTTGCCAATGCCTTGGGTTTTCCACTCTGCAGCAGGGATCCTACTGCTGTTCCGTTGGGCACTTGAAGGAAATACGGAGAGGAGGGCAGGCTGGGCTGAGTGTAGGAGATCTGCTCCGTGAAGTAGTGGCCTCCTGCCATGCTAGAACTTGTCATTCGTGAGCCCAGCTGACTGGAGAAGGGAGCTCCCTGCATGTATAAGTCATTCCAGGGGACAGGCTGATAGGCACTGGTACCTGTTTGAACAGCAGAGAAAGGAGAAAATTATGAAAATAGGGAAGGCAAGACTATCTCCATGTAAAAATGCACATCTTGCGCTTCTAAAAGCACCAAAAAGAAAAGACATGCTCCATTCAAACCTATATTACGCTTAAGCCCGGAGCAGGCACTGCAGGCAGGTGAAGGTTAACTATGCTGTTTCCATAGCAGTGTTTTAAACGAGGGCATAGTTCATGGTGGAAGGACTTGAAAAGTTCACTGCAATGTTCTAATCTACAGAATGTCATGTCACTTTAGCACAGTTCCTGGGTGAATTAGTGATCTTATACTTACTAAAAAATCTCCTCATACTTGTCCAATTCAGATCTGAAAAGCATAATCTCCATGCTCATTCATCACACACATTTACTAAACTTGCAAAGTCAAAAGCAGGTACATTTTTTAGTTCATATATGTATTAATCCAGCTGAACTGCTCACTTGCTTATAAGCTGAAATAAGACTTCGGGGAGGTGTAAACTGCCACTCTGGTCCTCTCCCCAATGCATTTCTGGGCCATTGGCCTCAGCTGTCCACACTGCATAGTCCCAGCCTCCTTTCCTTGAAAAGAAGAGCCATCCACAGTGCATTACCTGTGGATTTCCTACACATCGCACTTCCCTCCAGGAGCATGAAAGGAGGGAACACCCATTTTGACACTCTGCTACTGCAGCAGTCCTCAATGTCATTAGTCCTTGCGAGGCTGGCAACCTGTGCATATCCCTTCCTGCTCTCATGGCACGCTCTGAAGTACACAATGCATGATCCTGGCATCATGCTATAGCAACATTAATTTGGTGTGCTGAAAAAACACAGACAGGAGAACCAGGCCAAGTGTTAGACAGCATGGGTGCTGCCAAACTGTTTCTGAGACCATTAGCCATGAACAGTGTCATACGGAAGCTTGCTCTAACAAACCTTTGAGTCAGAGCTTTCCCTGACAAGGTATGCAAAAACAGTACAGAAACAGGAGCAGCATTTGTGATGTGAAAACCCCTCTATTCTCTAGTGGGATAAGAAGGCATTTTTGGACTGTGTGCTTACTTTTAACAAGCCTGACAGGCCAAAGAAACTGCAGTAGCTTGTTATCTTTTGATTTTACTTGGACCTCAACAACTTCAAAATACAAGTCACTGAAATAAAACAAGGTTGAAAATGCCATTTCTATCTAGCTATTTTTTTTAGAAAATACATAAGTGCTTTAATCTAAGTGGCATTACAAATTTAGTCAGAGGAAGGAAAAGAACAAAACTATATCCATATGCCCTTGCTCGTTTCTCTAACCCTCTCCTTTGCACTTTACACACGATTTCAAAATCGTTTCAGCCCAGCAAAGTCAGAAGCCTATTTTTCTTGCTGCTTCAGCTGATCCATAAGCATATTAGTTTGCTCCACAGTACACTTCTGAAAAATAAGTATTAGCTTCCTACTACACAAACCACTGCAGTACCTGATACATTCATACGATAACACTCTCTAACATGCGGCCTAAGAAACTACTTCTGAATCAAATCATTACTAAGCACTTAAAAATACAAGGAAATGAAAGGATGAGGGGCTTATGTATGTGCATGCTTGCATATACACAGAGGTACACACATGTTCCTTCTTTCTTCAATATTGTCAATAAAATTACTGATAATCTTGGACGTTTCAGGGTACCAGTCAGTTAGTCTAAGTGAGCAGAATGCCAAAACAATTCAGAAATTTACCTGAGCTTCCACTTGGCTGCTGTAACAACATCTGTCCTCCCACATGGTCTTGTACATAGCCTTGTGTGGCACCTGCTGCCCCATAGGTTATGATCCCACCATTTCCATCGAGGGTGAAGAAAGGTGCACTACACTCCCTGGATGCTGTAGGTGTGGGGTGGATGCTGGAGAGCTCGTTGCTGGGCAGCTGAGCAGGCAGACGGTGCAAGAGGGAGAGCTGCTGCTGCTGCTGCTGAGGATATTGGGCCAACTGGCAGGCTCCCCCCTGACCGCTGCACTGGCAGTAGGAGGCCTCCAGGTTGGCTGCAGACTCCAGCTGTTCAGGGTAACCGCAGGAAGCTGGGGGGCTTGCACTGCAAGCAAGGAAAAAAGCAATTCAGTAGGGCCAAAAGTAGCAGCAACTTGTACAGCAAATAATTGTTGTATTTCCCCCTTAACATCCATTCCAACCCTGATACAATTCCTATCCTTTCCCCCAAATCCCAGGCACAGGACAAGAGCAGCTGAAACCACTTGAGTGGAGTGCTCTCACAGGGTATCATAGCACGTCATAGGGACAGCAGTGCACACTGATGAAGACTGCTTTTACCTCTGCTCTCCCCACTCCGCAAGCACGCCCCCCTGCACTCAGCTCATTGACTCCTAAGGATTCCTTTTCACTGTACATCTGAATCCCACTCCCATCAACATACATGCAGTTATGACTGCATTTTAGTCAGGCCTTTTTACACAAAAGGCAGGCCTTTTGTGAGAGCAATGCTCCTTACTCAGGCTAATCTTTATTTTTCTTTTTTATGACTCATTTAAAAGGGCTTCCGTTCTCTGGACCCTCTTCCCACATTTAAATCCTCATTTATGCTCCCATCTATTTCCTTGTTCTACAAACCAATTTTTCCTCTCAAAGTTTCTCCCAACTTTCACTTTTCTCATCTCATTCAAAGACAATCTCATCTGTTCCTACCATTGATTCTGAAAGCTGTACGTGAAGGTGTCCATGGAGCCATTTTCCCGACTGGAGAAGCTGCATTTACTGCTGGGAGTGTCCAGCATCAAGGGGACAATATGACTGTGGGGGCTGAAGGCCAGGCTGAGAGGAAGGTTGGCCCTGCGGATGGGTGGAGGGCTGGGAAGGCTTGGGAAGCACTCCATTCTGCTAGAAGCAAAGTTGCCTTGAGACAGCTGCTTTGTCTGAGCTGCTTCACAAGGTGACACCATTCCCGTCACTGAAGAGGCTGTGATTAAAGAGAGACGCTGTCACACTGTGTGCCAATACAGAAAATAAAAAGGTGCAAGCAGAGAGAAAAAGGTCACAAGAGTGGAAGACAAAACAGATCACAAAGGCAAGATGCCAGTGAAAGAACAGAGCTTAACTGATGACAATAAAAGTAAATAAGTAGCAGTATGGCTGTTGGAAAGCAAAAAGTATGCAACGATTTATAAGGATTAATAACAAGCTCACTGGAACAAACGCTGATGTTTACTGGCTAAATAAAATTACCTTCAGCTCAGTTTCTGCATACTGGATTTATTCAGCTCTCAAGAAGCCAGCCAAATGAAACAAAGCACTTCCTGGACAAAAAGCCAGGAACAATCCCACAGCTATCTTCCATTTCTTGTGTCCTCTTGGAAGAATGTGCTGCATGGATTACCCTTTCAAATGACTTTACTGTGTTTTGAAACAAACAAAATGTGCCTTTAGATCCACTGCCTATGTCATTACCAGATTTTCACTCCTAGTTTGGTGTCTCGTAAGTCAATCCAAAAAAGCAGAGATCCCAGTGGAAGGGCCTTGGGAACAAAGAGTCAAGAGAAGGAAAATAAAATGGGCCTAACCTGGTTGCTAGAGTCTTGTTTGGTGACCTGCTTCCCCAGTCACTGCTAGAAAAGTAGAGAGGAGCATTTTCCTACAGAGCAACATTTGTGAAAGAAGTGTAACGTAGGAAATGAAAAAGCCAGAAGCACATATACTGACACGATACAGAATAACAAGCATATGTAGGAGTTCAAGAAGGGCATACGTTGTGCAAGTGGACAAGTTATGCCAAATAGCACACTATCACTTTCTTGAGGAGTGTGACAATCACATATGTGTGTCAATTTGAAATGAATTTTTCAAGTGTGGCTTGGTTGAACCAGCACAAGTAGACAGGTAACATTAGTCTACTGCTATTCACTGGAAAGCACGCAGAGAAAGCTAACAGCATAAATAGCTTTACAGCTGTAGCTGCAACTGAATCTGGAGATCTCCAACCTTGCAGATACATAGCACAACATCAGATACACTCCACCAAGGGAGAATCAAAGGCTTTAAACATAAAACTTAATCATAACACTGCAGAGAGAAGTATAGGCACTCATAGGGAGTTCTGGGAGGCATGTTCAGAGAGCTGGTAAGGTTACACTTCAACATCTTCAGCACAGTTCCTCAGTTTCCCAGGTGTACTGCGCAGTTGTGCTCATCTTCCTACACTGAATGGTTTTAAATTCATTGCAGCTATGAAAGGAGAGAGTCGTAATGTTTCAGTGAAAACTTGAGCAATATTTGATTCCAAAGAAAACCAGGTCAAGTCCTGTGACAGTGTCTTAATAGCATTCACTCGCTGAGACACTTCACTTCAAAAACAGAACAAAAGGCTTTTCTTTACTTGAAAATATCCTTTCTCCCTGTTTAGCAAAATCTGTTATGTGCACATCATAGGATTTTCTGACCATTTGCTATTTTTGACGTAACACGACTCGTCTGCTTTCTTATAACACAGCATTAGACAAGACAGTATTTAGTTTCCTTGCAAGTTAAAATGATTTAAGGCACAAAAAAAAAGCAGTTTTCTCCTAAACATTCTGGACTGGAATGTGGCAATACATGCAGGTGTTAGGAAATAGCAGCTGTTTATAAGAAAACTCACCTGAAAAATTGACCACATGCGTTTAGTGGAAAACCACAAACGTTTAGTCAGTAAGGACAGTAGAATCATCTATTCTGCAGATGGCCATCATCTTGCTCAGAATTCATATAAGTAGTGCTACCAGCATAGCCCAAGAAATCACTTCTGAACTCCTTTCATACATGTTTAGGTCTCTACTTTTCAGACCATGGTAAGAAAGACCTTGAATGCATCACTTCTGAGTACAGCAACAAATGCAGCGAGAATAAACAATTTCCTGAGAAGTAGTATCTGCTAAATAAGACAGTACCTTTACATAGCAATTCAGCATCTTGTTCAGGGGTGAAGCGCATCTTTGATGACTACTGGCTTGAAATAATACTTACATTTTATGGTTCTGTTGTTCTCCCATAATGATGTAGATATAAATTCTCAGTACATTTTCCATTGAAGGCAACAGTAGGTTTTTTTGTTTATCACTTCCACTGTTTCTGGGTTTTCAGTCTATAAGACAACCTTGGCAAATTATGGAGAGCAGTTTAATAATTTGCAGCTTCAGATCCCACTTTGGTCAGTCTCTGAACCAGTCCTGGTGATACACTTGTCTAAACTCAAGGGTGGCTATTCTGAATTTTCAGCTACACAGCTGTCCTCTCCATGCTACAGCTGCTTCCTCAGCACATTGACAGACTTAAGACACCCGTTCTTTAGTGTAAACAGTTTCCATTGGACAGCGCAGAGTCTTGCATGAGTAAAAATGGATATGTAGACTTTGCAATATGACTGTGATTTCAGTTTTATACAAATATTGAAGCAGCTAGATGTCTACTTTAGAGAAAAGTCTAGATCACGTTGAACTTCATGTAACCATTCCCAAGACCTCTATTTTAATCCCCTATTTGGCACTAAGCAATCATCTTTTTATTTTTGTAAGAGATACGAGTGTATGCTGAGATCCTAAACTGTGTCCCCTCAGCAAAATAGCCACATGAAGCAAAATATTTCCTGCAAAAGCACCACTAGGGGGGGAAAAAAAAATCGCATCCTACAAACCAGAGGTGCAGAATGTAACTTTCTCTCTAAAGGATCTAATCTAATAAGTAAGGAGGCCATACAGATTTAAGCATCTCTCCTGCTCACAAACAGCTTCTACAAAGACACGATTAGTTAAATGAGGAACCTCATAAAATATGCAAAAATACGCACATGTGCATGTCTAATCATGTCTGAAGCAGTGCCTTAACTGAAAGTTTACGTATGCATATAGTCACTGCTCAGCTGCACAAACAAGCTCTTGAGTTGCATATAACAGACATGTCACTGTATTATATTAAAATTTCCTGTAATGCCAGGGAAGAATAAGCCTGCCTAAGGACATCAAGGTTTCATCTCCGTGAATCTGTTTATGCTTTAAGTACATAAAATATCACAGAAAGAAATCTGCAACAAGTCCCTCAAATAACTGAAACTTTTTGTGGGTAAAACTAGAAAAATGAAAACAAACTCCAAGAAGGAAAAACTGGTAGCAAAGAAAAGTACGTCTAAAATAGGATTTGGTGACATTTTTAATCATCTTGAACAAAAAGGTGGGACATGAAAGAAAAAAAAAAGCTAGTCAGTCAGAATTAGTCTAGATAATATTAAGAGTTTAAGGAAAAAAAAAAAGGGCAATGGACACTCCTGAATAGTGCCAGGCAACTCATCATACCACTCTCATGCAAGTCATTTGCTTGTTTCAAGTAGCTCAGCCTACTGCTACTAAGAAAAGTGTCCAAATAATCACTCCATTAGGCCCCAAGCTCAGGCAGAAGTGTACAGTTACACACAGATCAGGGATTAATTTGATGAAACCTGTTATTTATGGGCTGTTTCTAAAGAGGCTGTTGTTTATCCTAAGCCACTGCTCTTGTCTTGCAAATGCACTGTGCTATTCATTTGTTCTTTGTTTGTTTTTCTTTTGCTATTTCGGATTTTATCCTATCCATTTTCCTTCCATCTTATTCTCTGAATTCATCCTTAAAAAAAAAGAGTCTGCTTCTGTGATGCTAGATGATGAAGAAAACGGAAGTTCTATTCTCATACATCTAATGTGGCTAAACTGTAACTGAAGCTTCTCCTACGATTAGGCCACACCATTTTCTCTCCCAAGAGGAGTCTCTGTGCATCCTAACAGTCTTTCTCTCAGACACAGCACAAACTTAGAGCTCTCTGCTCTGCCCTGGCAACAATTTTCCCATGACTTGTAGGAATGCAGTATTTTTAACACTTTTATCTTCCATCAAATTTGACTAGAGTTAAATAAATTTGGAGGTAAGACTGGGTTTAATAAAACAGAACACAGCTTCTCTGTGTGGTTCATTTCACACACTCTATATCTCCCTCCCCTAAGGAAACCAAGTTAGGTAAACAAACAAACACAACATTCAAAAAGAAAAAAAGATCAGGCCAAAAGAACAAAACCAACAACCCTCAGGGTTTGTGTGTAGCAAAGCATATCTTTCCTAATACCAGCTTTAGATGACACACATACATTTCATTTCTTCTTGCACAGCAGAAGCAGCATGATTTAAAGAGAACAAGGGGAAGTCTATTTCCCCACATACATTAAAAAAAAAAAAAAAAAGTAGTACATCCTAATCCTCAGGTGTGCACCTAATATTGAAAATACTGCGATTTCAGATAAACTATGGAAGTTACATATAAACACAGTAAATGCAATAGGTCAGCAGTGATTTCATGGAGTCAAGAAACAAGAACTTGGCTATGTTTGAGCTGAAACAGGGCTTTGCTTTTCCAAACAGAAAGACTCTGTTTTCCAGGACTGCACCCAGCGTGCAGATTCGTCAGAAGGAAGTGTTCGGTACAGAGAGATGACAAGATCACAGCCCTGAATGAAACTTCAGCTGTTGCTCTGCTCCTTTTCTCTAATAATGCATATCTTATCTTGAGTAGATAGCATGCCTGCAGACGAATTTTAAGAACCAGGAGAGTTCAGCGGACAAGTGTAGAAATATAAACACACATATATATTTTTTTTAAAGCGAATTATTCTTCAAAATCTTGGCCTTTATTTAACTAAGTACAGGACTCACTGACTGCATCATTTCTTCATTCTACGAAATAGTGGATTATTCAAATGCTTTGACCATGTTTACCATGCTGCAATATGTGGAAAAACTGTGGTTAACTGAATTACAGTTAAATTGGTGAAATGTTTCATAGAACTGACTTAAGTAGTCCTTGTCTTGAAACTATTTATGTCAGGCAAATTTAAATGAGAAAAGTGATGGATTATAGCATCAAGAAAGCATTACAATTACGTATTTTTAATTTAGATATCTGCTTTTTAGAGTTCTAAATTTGTTGATACAGTTTTATCGTTGCTTTCTACAGTGACAAAATATTTTAAATTATCAGTACTATTAAAAATACTGTATTGAAGTTGAGTCATATAAAAAAAGTTTTGCATAGAACTGGCATTAAAAGTAATACTGTTATATATTTAGCATACAGTAAAAGGACAGAAATGAGAGCATAAAATTCAAAAGAATGAATGTCCCTGAAGGGCAGAAGGAAAAAAAAAAAAAAAAAAAAATACTCCTCAGCTGTCCAGCTGTACTGTGTGTCAGCACAACCACTGCTTGGGATATCCTTCCCTAAGGAAGCAGTGAATCATTTTGAAAATATTTTCAAGTCACAACTTGAGAAACTAAGCATATATAAGCAATGCTTTACAGAACACTGACTCCAGGGAATGTTCTGGTACTCCCCACACGAATACCCAACGGAACCCACCCTCTTTGGTTGCCATGCACCTACAAGCCTAATTGCAGCCCAGGTAGAAAACTGACCCAACAGCACAGCCCTCTGACTTTCCAGAACATTGCAGCAGGAATCAAGCTAGCCTGTAGGCTTAAGAACTCGAACAGTCTCACTCCCTGAAGGTCTTGCACAAAATAGGAATTCGCACTGCCCACTCCTAGCACCTGGAGGAGTCAAAGCACTTCCCTGGGAAGACGGAAAGGTGTGGGTTGATCTTAGGGAGGTGTGGATTGATCTACAACGCCAACACTTTACACAATGCACCTTTCTCACAGAACTCACTCTATTACAAGTTGTAATTGTAATTGTTGTAAAACTGTAACCTACACCAGAATACACCACAAAATTGCTGGAATAATACTTCTATTGTCATTCAGAGAAGAACCTCCAACAGTGCCAGCATCATATGAGTGTTATAGAAGACTGCCCCACTTCTTTGCAGAAGACTTTGGACTCATATTTGGAAGTCCGTGCTGGGCTGTGCTAGGTCACTGATGAGTAATTCATGAGCCAAATGCAAATTTGGCTCTAGTGTTAGCACTGAGATTCCACCCATTACAGCTTGTAACTGAATTAGCAGGGAGCTATTAAGCCTGGTGTCAACTGTTTGGACTGGTCAGAGGGAACATGAGTCACAAGGCCTTCCCAGGAGTGTTTGGGAACCTATCAGTACCACAAACAAATGCTGTAGATATTATCAAAATACCTTATATCTACTGATATGGATCTTACCTGAGGAGGAGACAAAGGGTCCTAGGTGTCCACTGAGCAGGCTGGAGTAGTTTCCAACTGCAGTCTCAACACTCACTGCGGCAAATGGGTCCTGAGCAACATCAGGCAGTGGATGCACAGGCAGAAGAGGAGCCCTAGAGGTATTCATAAAGAACGTGAGCAGAAAGCAGAAGAACAAGACAAGACATCATCAAGAAACAAACACTTTAACTCTCCTATAAGGGACAAGTCCTAGATCACCAGGACGCTGTCTGAATTGGAAGAGCAAGGAGAAGTGGTACAATGGATGCATCAAATATTGGCACAATCTGTACCTGGTTGCTAGTAGCAGAAAGGGCAAGTGACAGGGAAAGTGCAGTAAGACCAGTCAGGTAGTCTTCAATCTTTTTCATCTGATTTGATTTTTTCATTTCAGTATGTCTTCTTCAGAGAAAGACTTTCATTCCAAACAATAAATTCACTTCTTCCTTCCCTCTGTCCCCACACCTGAAAGGCCATCTACCCTCACACACTCCAGATTCTCCCCAGTAGGAACTTCCTGCCTTTCCTTTTCATTTCTTCAAATAAAGCAATTTTCATTTCTTCAGATGAATACATGTTTTTGTAAGACTGCACTGAGCATTTAGCATTGCAAATAAACTTTCCTTTGATGATGGAAATGCTATGAACATGGAAAGCAAGGGTGACAGAATTCCCAAGCACACAAAGGGTCTGGCCAGCACATTCATAGAAACCAAAAACAGTTACAATAAACAGATCCTTCCTATTTCAACCTCTACTCTCTACATCTCATCAGCAGATAAATGGTAACATTTTTATTTCAAAATCGTCATCTGCAGATCAATCAGAAGTCCTTTTAGAGGGTCCACTACACTGCTAGACATCTGTCAGACAGGAGGAGCTACCATGGTCCAACTCAACGCTCAGCTCTCAGTGGCTTAAATATAAGGGAAAGAGGAATAAGAAAATATTTTCTTCATTAACTATTTCATGTGTAGGGAGAAGGAAAAAAAAAATAGATCAAGTCGCTCACCTGTAACTGTCTGATACCAAAGGGGCTGATAGAGCTGCTGATGCTGAGTGTTTTTTATTTCCTTTCACACTCAACTTCTCTGTTTTTCGCCACTTTGCCCTGCGATTCTGAAACCAGACCTGATAAATGGAGAGAAAAGTTACATTCAGAGTGGGAAATGTCCATTTAGGGACACAGGGAAAAATCAGCAATAACTGCCTCCACAGCCCACCCGGTTAAACAAAACCATCCTCTCTTCCACAGTGAATCAGCAGCGTTCATTGCAACTAGAAAGAGAAGAATTGCAGCAGAAAAACCACACTTCAAGCTCCAATTTCCTTTATTACTCGTAGAATAATCTAAAATAGAGATTAACTACAAAGTCATCAGACTCTTATCCACAAACTGCGTCTCATCTTAAGAGACATTAACACAGATGGAATAGAGAACAGTTAATTCCACTGCCATTTTCTTTCTTTCTTTTTCTTTTGGGTGGGGGAGTAGCTGGGGGTGGGTTGGGGAGGAGGTGAAGAGAAGGGTAGGGGGAGAAGGGAAGCTGTCCAGGTAGCATCCAGCTGTACAATCTCTCTTTCTGACCTTTTCATCAGTGGAAGTTGTAGTCTCTATTCTATTTCTCACAAGTTCCTTTCTTCTTGTCAAAGATCTTCCCTGCCCCACTGCCTCTTCCTTTCATTTTTCTTGCACATAACCCACAGACAACTCTTACCACCCAGGCTTTACCATGATACGCTGTGGTGTCACACCGACGACAGCTGCAATCTCCCTTCTCTTCTCATTGTCGGGGTAGTGGTCTTCCTGGAACATCTTCTCCAACTCTTCTAGTTGCTCTAGAAATGACGTATTGCAGAGAGAGACCAAGAGAAGAAGACGGATGGGAGACAGGTAGTAAGAGAATAAAAATGTCACCAAAGAAACAAGGTAGGGCAGAAGTTTTACTATACTTAGAAAAAAGAAATACTTGGGCAATACAAAGAACTTTTTAAAAAGCACACTGCAAAAATAAACACAAATCTTTATCCACAGTGGAAAAAAAAAAAAAAAAAGCCCACACATTCACACATTGCTAATAATACTTCAAGCTCAAAGCACTCAGCAACCTTTATTTGAAGATGTTCCTGTAATTCTAATGGCACAGAACACATTGCAAACAGGGCAGGTCAGCACCTCCAAGTTGTGCCATCTGTATGCTGAAGAAAACACTAGTGCCATTGCTACCGTAAGTGTCACCATCTACCAGTCAGGTCCCCATTATCTACCTGCACTATAGAAGGTCCGTGACTTCTTCCTGACAGGCAGCAGAATTTCTGGATTCTCAAGAAACTCTTTCTTCTCTTTTGTCCCATCGTGGCTATTTCCAGGTTCCAGAACTGAAGATACCTTGTACAGCTCCTGAGATGCAGAGTTGGCTGAAGTGCTCTTGGATGATCGGCGGGTAACCAGGTCACGCACATCCTGTAACCGTGCTGGCCTGCAGAGTTCTCCAGGCATGACACTAGATGTCTTCTCAGGACACAATTCACTTTTGCTAGTGTTTTTTTTCTTCTTAGTCTCCATTTCAATCCCATCAGAGTAATAACTGTGACAATGGTCACATGACCCTGACTGCTCCGTGGGATCCTGAGCAAATTCATCCACAGGAGGTGGAGGCACAGCGTTCCCATCACTGAGGAAATCTGGTAGTTGCCTACACACTGCAGTAAGCTGGCAGTCAAGGGCTGCTGAGTCTTGAGAAGCTGACGCAGTTGCCTCCACTATGCAGTAACTTCTATTTTCCTTCTCCTCCACAGGGCTTATCCCTTCTTCTGTTCCCACGGTATCCCTAACTTCTCTTACAGGTCCACTTTGGGGTGTGGGTAGTACATTACTCCTTGTACCATGCTCCTCAATAGGATCAGCATCCACCACAAAGTGCTCAGTATTCTGTGATGAGTCTTCCTTCTTGTTCTTGCACACTACAAGAAGAAAATGAAAAACCACCCCCAACCTGCACACACACTGTCTAAGCCAAATGTGCCGTGATAGGAAGTTTCAGTTATGGCAGGAGAAGACTGTACAAGGAAAGCCAACAGTGAAAAAAGATAGAGTTCAAAAAGGCAACTGTGACCAGGAGAGAGTGCTGCCAGGAAAGTAAAAACAGAGGATATGGTCAAACTTGGAGATATTTCCATAAACTGAGTTCAGAAAAAAAATGAAAACATAAAACAAAACCCCTAAATTTGAGAGTGAAGATGCCTGCAAAAACAACCAACTACAAACTGTGGGAAGAATTAAGAAAAGGAGAAGTGGAAGAATGTCTTACAAGTACAATAATGGGAAAACAGTTCTAGGGGTAATTATTTGACAGATGACATTATAGAGGTTTCTGTTTCTACCATATTCATGTTGGCCATGCAAAACCCAATTGAATTACACAGAGTTCTAAGAATTGCCTTAAATTAGCCTCCTGCAGTTTCAAACACACAACAACACTTAGGATAACACAGGCTTACAAGACAGGAAATGAAAGAGCTGGCTGAGGAACAAAAAAGAGTTTAAGCCTGATCAAGTTTAACAAAAATCAGAAAGTGCATCACACTAACAGAGACTGAACAATAGAAGTCATGTCAAAAAGAACAGAAAATAAAGATACTAACATGCAATTATAAAATAAATAAAGAAAAATGTAATGGTGTAATAAATTATTTTTCTTTCACAGTTAAGATATATATTTTAAAATAAAAAAAATGCTGATTGTTTCAGAATATGTACCTAAATCAGTGATGTTACTTTTTTAGAGCTTTTTTCTTTTGTTTTGTTTTTAAGAATTAAGTGTAGAATAATAATAGTAGAAGCATAATTTGCCTTTGTATGGAAAGACGAAATTTTGAGCAGATTATTGACTGAATTTCAATTTTAAATGTCTACAGAAAAACAACGTTGTTTAATTTGGGGGGGGAAAGGAAGAATCTAAAATCCTTTCACTCTGTACTGCTTTTGACAGGAATTATTGAAACACCAAAATTAAAGACTTGCTTTCCAACTCATTATGTTTCTCTCCTTAAAGAATTATTAATCGAATAGGAACCTCACAACACCAGTCAGCTAACAGAAGGATGAAGAGATGCCAGGCTGCTTCCAAGATTCCAATTTACCTTTTTACAGGCAAACAGAATTAGTGGAATTGGTTGCACGGGAAAGAGATGGAGGCACAAAACCAAGTAACCAGAATAATTTGATCTTCTTAAGCAGCAACAATTCCCACTGCTATTAAATGAGATGAAATATCCTGATTGGGAGGGTCAAGAACTAATCCAAGCAGAAGGCAACTATGCTCTATCCAATTCCTTTTTCTGAAGTGCTCCCCAATGAAACTGAGTTTCTTTATGCCACGTTCTGATTACACGAAAGAGTAAATTCTGTTCTTCACTAATTATGAAAAAAAAATTGTTACCCTTTAATTCAAATATGGTATTTTCAACTGTTTTAACATGAGAATCATTTTTCCTTATTTTTAGTTTTACACTTTTGTGTACACTTTTGTGTAAAACTAAAGTTTTAGTTTTACAGATCTGTTTACAGTATAAAACACATTACAAAGCTTGCCGCAGATACAAGAGACAAAGGCAATGAGGCAGACCAGCTTCTGGGAGTTTTACATCACCTACAGGAATATTTCTGCATCAGAAGGGGAGTTGCTGAAGCATGTAGGAAGGGCCTGACAACATGCAACCGGGAACTGCAGGCCCCCAGAAAAGATATGCACTGAAAAATAAAGCTTGGAGAGAAACACAGGCCTTCACGGTAATCTGGGAGTTGCCAATCCATTCCTCTTTGCCATCACAAAAATTAAAAGCAGGCAGACTGAAGATCACTTTGTGCTACTTTTAGATGAATAGCTTAAAATAAAGGGCATTTTAATGGGCAAAAAACATCATATTAAAGGAGCTTAAGACATCCTGTGTGTACTGAGGTGCACTAGCATGAACCAAGTCTACTTTTTTTTTTTCCTTTTTAAATAGTCCAAGCAGCTCCTTAGAGCAAGGCAATCACTTCCACAGTGACAAACTTTTAGGGCTGCTTTGGGCCCACGGTTCAAAGCAATCTGAACACGCACGCAGAGTGAGAGACGGGAAGGGCCCACAGCAGCGGAGACCAGGAGCGGGCCCAGCCTGGAAACCCAGAGCCAGCCGGTCCCCCCAGTGCAGCAGAGAGCGAGCAGCCAGCCCAACCTCCACACGAGCACCAGGAGCCTCTTCAAGCTCAGTGCCACCAGGGCAGGGTCGGGGCTTTTCAAGAGCACCTTTCCCCAAACCCTCCTCGCCCCCAATCGCCAGCTACGCCCCACACCTGGGCACTGTGGGCCTCCTGCTCCAAGCAGAACAGGGCCCAGGCTGCAGGGGGAAGAGAAGCAAGGACCAACAACCGCCCTCCCTGCCGGCACGGGGGCAAGGAGGCAGCAATAGGGTCATTAGCCGCCGCCGGGGCTGCTCATTAGGCTCTCTGCCGGGTGACTCCCCCGGGTCATTAACGAGCCCCCGCGGCCGGGCCCTTACCCAGCCCGTCGGGCGCCCGCTCCTCCTCCTGCTCCTCCTCCGTGCCCGCCCGGGCCATTCCGGCTGCGCGGAGGCGCGGCGCGGCCCCGTTAATGTCCCGGCCGGCGGCGAGCCCCGCGCCGACTGCAGCCGCGAGCCGCGCGAGCTCATCAAGGGCACCTGGGGCAGCGCCCGGGCCACGCAGCCCCACCAACCCACCCATCAACCAACCAACTAACCAACCCACCCATCAACCAACCAACTAACCAACCCACCCATCAACCAACCAACTAACCAGCCCACCTACCTACCTCGGCCGCGCGCGGCCCGGGCTGCCCCCGCTCGCCGCCCCCCGGTTGCGCCGTTGGGGACGTTGGCGCCGTCCCGCTGCCTCGTGCCTCCCCCCGCGGCCCCGGCGCGCACGAACGGGGGCCATGTCGTGCGCGGCCGGGCGCCGGGGCCGTGTCGCCCTCTGCGGCACCCGAAACTCCCCTGGGAAGTTTCTTGACACTTCCAGACTCCCCGTGAGCGGGGGCCCTAAGCACCGCTAGGGGCAGCACTTTAAACCCAACCGTTCAAAAACTAAACTCTCAACCAGATCACACTGAGTGAATTGAACTTCATTGTCTTTCCTCGTGGGCTGGCGGGAAGTCAGAAGGATTTATTTTTTCAAATGTCTTCTGGTTCTAGTTGCTTGAAAAAAACTTACCTTAGAATTCTGTAAACTAAGGTAGAAAGAAAGAAATTACAGTTCTTGACTTTGAGATACTCTAATCCCACTTATTTTTGGTACTGATAGTTATCAGAAAAAAAAAAAAAAAAAAAAGGCTTCAAATGCAGTGATGCTGGGTAACTATATTAAAGTACTACAAGTACTGTAGTACTGCCTGCCCTGGTAGCATTTAAAGCCAGTTTTGTGTGCATGAAACAACTAGACAACAACACATAAAATGGTAATGAACCAAGATGAGATTATTCGCCTTCTTTCTTCTGACATGCAATTGACCTGAGCTGTAACTTGTTAAGTCATAGAGGTTCCAGAAATCAAGTCCTCCCTTTTTGCATTTTCCAAATCCAACTTTTCTAGCCACCAAAAAAGTCACCTGGCTCTAAACATTGCTTACATACATATGTCTACAAACAACAAAGACAACACTTCCTTAGCAAACATGGCTGTGCTCCGTCAAGTTGGAATATCATCCTCTCATTAGTTATTAGCATTGTATCTTTTTGATGGATCGCAACAGGATTCTCCTACACTGCATTTTTCCCATCTGCTCTATCTTGGCTTCAAGGTTTGCTATAGCATTAAAGAGCCTGCTATTGCAAATGCTTTCACCTGGGAGATGGTTCATTAAGTTAAATGAGTATAATCTGAAGCATGTGTGCCAGCACATCTCAGACTGAGGACAGTTAATATCAAAGCATAAGTGAATCTAGTTCAGCATCCAAATACAAAAGCTTACTTGGAATGTGATTGTGACTTACAGGACATTTTAGCAGCATTCAGCTGGCCCAACAAGTCCACTCGTTACGAGTGGATGGAACTTCTTGAATAGTAGATAAAATTGCTCTAACTACTGCAAGGGTCCTAGCAGTGTTGTGGTTATTTACTGAGCTCTAGACTTGTAACTTTTTATATATTTTATTCACCAACTATAGAAGATTAACATCCAAACTGTGTGCAAAATTTAGAGTGATCTTTTTAAATATTTTTAAGTCAGGTGGTAGTAGTACATCTTGATGTACTTTGGTCTCCTCACACATGCATCTGAGTTTCCTTCCATTCTTTTTAGTTTAAAATACTTTATTTGCTGTAAACCTTCTTTCTTCTACTTTGCTGTTAAGTAACTCACAGATTTCAGGCTCCCAGCCTTGGAATAACATCCATGTAAACACTGGATCTACCCAAGTGGGAGTGGATCTTAATTTCTTCTTACTCCCACCTAATTACTTCTTCCAGATCTTGACTGCTCTAGTGAGCATCCTTGAATTTCATTTCTGTCTGCATTTGAGTACCATATAGCAAAAAATGAATATAGGTCACCTGGTGAAAGTCACTAGAGACCATTATTGGCTTATGTGACATGTGTGAAGGATCTGTGATATTGCCAGGAATGCTTTATTGAATGGGTTACTAGAGAATTGCTCATTTTGATTGAGCATCCTCAGTCCTCATTTTGATTGAGGTCATCCTCATTTTGATTGAGGATGTAGCATATTAGGAGTGTCAGGAGACTGCAAAAGTGGGGCTACTTTGCAAAATAGGACAAGTAAAGAGCTAGTGTTACTCCAGCACAGGCACTAATAGTTGCTTCAAAAACCAGAGCAATTTTCAGAGTATCTAAAGATACTCAAACAGTATCTATCACAGAGCAGGATCTGTGGTAACAAGGTTCTCTGAAAGTCTCAGATAAGGCAAGGAGAGGCAGGTCCAATGTCTCTCCAGGGGACCCAGTCAGGAACATTGTGGGCAGAGAGAAAAAAAAATGGTCAGGACTATTAAAGCTTATTAGGAACATGAGTGGAAGGAGAAAGAGATTGCTATTAAGACTCCTCACTGTTTACAGAATCACAAGTGTGTTTTTTCTCAAACTTTGCCAGCCACCTCATTGTTTCAAATGAATGTCCTAATATGTGAGGTGTTTCCTTGAAGTAATGGCTCCTACTGTCATGTGTGCTATCATTTGGCAGAAGGCAGGGAATGTTAAAAAAATACTGTTAGCATTTTTTTTTTTTATGGCTCTTCAAATCATAGAATCATAGAATGCTTAAGATTGGAAGGGACCTCAGAGGTCATCTAGTCCAACCCCCCTGCACACATAGGGTCACCTAGAGCACGTGGCACAGGGCTGCGTCCAAGCAGGTTTTAAAGATCTCCAAAGAAGGAAACTACACCTCTCTGAGCAGCCTGTTCCAGGGCTCTGTCACCCTTACTATCAAGAAGTGTTTCCTTAAGTTCCTGGGGAACTTCTGGTGCCTCAGCTTGTGGCTGTTTCCTTTAGTCCTATCACTGGCCACCACTGAAAAGAGGCCGGCCCCCTCCTCCTCAGGTATTTATACACGCTGATCAGGTCCCCCCTCAGCCTTCTCTTCTTCAGGCTGAACAGGCGCAGCTCTCTCAGCCTTTGCTCATATGGCAGATGTTCCAGGCCCCTGATCATCCTGGTAGCCCTGCGCTGGACTCTCTCCAGCAGCTCCACATCCCTCTTGTACTGGGGAGCCCAGAATTGGACACAGTACTCCAGATGTGGCCTCACCAGGGCTGTGTATAGGGGGACAATCACCTCCCTTGACCTTCTGCAGACGCTCTCTTAATGCCTTCTTGGCCACCAGGGCACACTGCTGCCTCGTGGTCATCTTGTCATCTTGTCATCCACCATAACTGCGGGGCTGCTCTACAGCAGGTCAACCCCTAATCTGTACTGGTGTCCGGGGTTATTCCTCCCCAAGTGCAGGACCCTGCACTTTCACTTGTTGAACTTCATGAGGTTTCTAACCGCCCAGTCGTCCAGTCTATCCAGGTCCCTCTGGATGGCTGCACAATGCATACTGCTGTACTTATTCATGCAAGCAGTTGCCTCCTTTCTGTAATCACCGTCTTAAGAGAGAGGAAGATGTAGGGCTGACGTTTCAGTTATGATCACTGCTGATGATGAACACGAGAACAGCTTTTCTCTGGTAGTTTTCTATTCTGTGGGTTTTCTTTGTGGATCTTACCAGAAGATTACAGGGGTCTAGCAGACAAAATTTACTCTTCCGTTTCTGCTTAAAACAAATTTCATGAGAAATCAGGTTATCCCCATTACATAATGGAAGGAGAGAGGCTGATTCATAATTATGACAAAGTATCTACTTCATTCTATTATACAGTCTATTTGGTTCCTTCTAATCAAATGTGGAGTTACAGATCCTAACAAATGGTTAGAGAAGCTTGACTAGTTTATGATTAACATTGTCTTGCTTGTATGAACTCAGCCAAAAGTACAAAGCTTTAGTCATAAGTCAAAAAGTATTCATTCCATTTGATGATGGGGCTAAAAATTAGCTAAATTGGTCATGTGTGGAGATAATGGAGAATTTGTATGCTGTCTCAAACACAGGATGTCAAACAGTCTACAAATGCTTATCAAGGAGTAACAATGGCTGTAACTGTCCCTAAAATACAGAAAATCTGAACCCAGGAAACTAATGACATACCTGTGACAGGGAAAAGCTGATCTTTGACCCAAGTAGCTAAACAGCATGAAAATGCTGTTAATCACAACAACGGACCTAGAGTTTCCTATCCCAAGGATTTACAGAAGCACACACATAATTTAAGACAGAACTAATAAAAAGCGACTCTAATAAATGACTTATTGGCTTATTTTTGAGAGTCAAAATTGAAAGAGTAGGTTCTTAGCTTTTAAAATGCTTAATTAGATGGCAATTTGAGTAGCAATTTCTACGCCCTGCCTCCTCCATACAGAAGGCAAAGGTGAAGCTGAAACAGCTCAGACTGCCTGCATGAGAAGAGCTTCCATGAGCACACACTGATTTGATCCCATTGCCCAGTTCCATATCCCAGTTGAGACATCAGAGATCCTGTACATCTTTATGAATTCAGACCAATTTGGGAGAAACAGGTATTTCAGATCCACATTCAGGTCTTCTCGAGGATTATAACTCTTCAGATATCACTTGTTTTAGTTAGAGGATAGGCTTTCTTTTTGCTATTAGTTTAGGCACAGGTTCTCGTTCTCTTGGAAAGAAAAGCATAACCCTCTTGTAGCCTGGAATATTGACTAAGAGAGGATCACATCATTAAATCCTGCTTTACTGGAATGGTTGGCTCAATTCCAATCTTCCATATGTTGTCCCTCTAGCTTACCTGGGTTTACTGATGACTGCTACCCCTGTAGAACTACAGTAACTGTCAATTCAGGACATAAACACTCTTAGGATCTTATGAAATGGCTAGTAAAGCAAGTTTTCTCTGCTGCTCCTGCTTAATATGGCTATCTCTGCTCAAAAAAAGGGGAGTTAAAGGGTTGATAAGGAAGCTGAAGCCTCAATGCATCCAGAAAATACTGAATTACTTGCAAGTTAGATTTTCTTCTCAAATACAAGGAAAGCAGAAAATTTTATATCTTTTAAATGGAGAAGTGCATAAGTTTATTATGACTAAAAGCTTTTTTCTCTCTCTTTTTTTTTAATCCAGCTAAAATTAGTGATATAAATAGGCTGGAATAAACTATGCCAGGTACAATGTAAATGGGAATCAAAGGCAAGGGGAATTACAGAGACAGAAAGCCGGAGATACAAAGATAACTAATTTTTCAAATATATTAAGGCAATAAGGCTACACATTGCTTTCTTTGGTGTATTGATTCTCATACTTGATCTTGCATTGACGTAACCAAATGCAAACACTTAATACAGAAAAAAATATTTTACAGTTGAAGTCACGTCCTCAAATAGACAAGTTCTGCACAAAAGCAGGATTGTATGTAAACTGGAGTTAAAGCCAAAGAGTTCTACAAAAGAGCAAAATCCCTGGTACATGTTTTTGACTTTATCTACAGTGCCTAACTGTGTTAGTGTTTTCTATAAGTGTGCAAAATGGTGCATGCAATACCCCATCAGCGATGAGAGTAAAAGCAGCAGGAGGGTGCCACTTTATTGCCTAAGTCTAGTAAGTCATGGTTATTTTGTACAGAGCATGTACCAACATGTGAATTTTTTTTTGGTCAAAAGTGATTGTTCTACTTTGAGTAGGAGGAAGGGTGAAAGAAATGGTGAATTCAGATGCCTTAAAGGGGCACTTTTGCAGAAGAGATGTAATGTGTGGAATTGAAGTTCATACTTCTTAAGATGAGGAAATCACCACAGTAGCTTCTGAAAACTTAACGCAAGTGGAGTTTCTAATTCTGTCACAGACTGTAACATAATGCTGAGAGTGACTTAAATACACAATGAAACACCATTCCCATTTTTTAAAAAACAGACTTCTACTGTCCAGTAATTAAAATGTCTTAAATGGAAATCAGACTATGGAGATCAAAATATCAAGAGGACATTTAAATGGAACTCTCCTGCACTATACTGTGCTTTATACTTAGCACCTTCTTTCTCAGAAACTCAAAGCTCTTAGTTTACTAATACTACTGAGTTTAGCCTCACAACATCCGGTGAGGTAGGTAAGTTTACACCCATTTTACAGATGGGAAAAATGAGGCAGAATTCTGGAGCAACTTGCCCAAGGTCCTGAAACTTGTCAGTGGCAAAACCAAGAACAGATTTTCAGAGGTCAAGATCCCAGACTTCTGAATGATTAAAGTCCTTCCCTACTACCACAAAGCAAGCAATACATGCAACTTTTCTCCTCCTACTGCTGAAGTGATGGCGCAACAGTAGTGAATGATTTTTCTTGACTGAATTCCCACATTCTTTGGCAAAAGCACTTGGTGCTGTCAAGTGCTGTATTGTGTTCTCTGCAGAGGTGTTTCCTCTGAGGCAAGTAGAAAAAGGTGGTTTCTCCATGGCAGGGAGACTGTACAGGTCCAAACAAAGTAGTCTTACTTATTGCAGAAGACCTGCTGCTTAGCATTTTTCACACGTTCTTCCTCCTTCAGGTTCTTCTGCCGTGCATGCTTGCTGGAGATCAACTCCACATGTTCTGAGGGAAACCAGCCTCTCTCTCTGTCAGAAAGTTTCACTCCTTCCATCCATCCTGTGGGTGTAGGGACAAGTGCAATAGGATGAAAAACAATGAAAGATTTTTTTTGCTTTTTCTTCCCAACAAGCCTCTTCTAAATGACAAGTCTAGGGCAAGGCCCAAGGATCACAGAAATTCCCTTTCCAAATGAAATTGCTTGAAGATAAAGAAAAGTCTCTTCTTCCTCCCAACCCAAGAATCAGGCATGAGAGACTCTTTCTGAAGTCTGACTGTGTTAGCAAAGCTACAAAAGCAACTACTATCCCCTAATTTAAGAGGGCTGTGTTCATTCTGCTCACCATCAGTGCTGCTCTGCATAACCATGATGATATCTGCTTTCTCCAAAGCCAGCTCATCATTCTCCCGAGCCTTGTACGTCCTTATGCACTGAACTTGTGGAGCATCTAAAGATGAAGAAAAAGATCACAACGCTGCCCTAGGAGAGTGACAGTATACCTGTGTGCATTAGCTCAAATGAGAAAAGAGATAAGGAACTACTCAGACAGTGAAAAGCAAAGAAGTAGAAGGGAGATCACTGGTCTTCCACCTAATATGAGGAATAAAAATTAAGTTGCAGCACCTAGTGCTGAGAGAAAGCCCGTGAATAGGTTATTTCTTTATGAAAAAAGTGAATGTTCCATGTTGGGAAAGCCTATGAATAGCTAATTTCTTTACGAGAAAGCAAATGTTCCACCTTGGAGTCACTCTTGGATGTTCTACTTTACAGTGACTCCAGTTCTTCTCAGCTAGCCCACCCACACTGGTACAATGGCCAAGCAGTCTCACCAGGGCATTCCAGGAGGTCCAGTTCCCCTCGCGGAGGAGCCAAAGCAGAGATCCACCGCAGCTTCTCACTTCTGGAAAACATCACCATGAGATGTTAGAAGTCAACACGAGGGATAGCAGCCTGATGGGTGTGCAGGTATGCATGGGTGTGTGTGCATATATACACGCTCAGAGTAGGGATCAGGGAGCGGGCCTCAGTTGAAGCAGGGGAAGTGGAAATTGAAGAAAAGGATGAGAAAAGGCAGGAAACTCCTGGTTTGGGAGGCTAATGGTATGAAATAATGTGGTGGTAGAGTGTGAGCAGCCAAAATGAGAGAAGTGAAAGGTGGTTTGCAAAGTAAGCGCTCACTATGGCAGGCTGGAGGATGAACTCTAAGTCCTCTGCTCAGCAGCTGCATTTGATATTCAGCATTCAGATAGTTGAGAGAACACCTTGAGGCTGCAGAAGGTTGTGGGATTGGGATATACCGAGGGTAACCTTGAGTTCTTACTGTGTCTCTGTACGAAACAGAAATTCCACTCTCTTGCCCTGGTAATTCTGAAGTAGAAAGAGACGGAAGACGTTTTTGTTTGTTCCATGCAGTTTCATCTCACACTTCTCCCCACGCACATCTGAGAAAGCAGCATGGTCAAACACAACAAAACGTCCACCCCTGCAGGTTAAGAGGAAGTACAAAATCAGCTGTTAGTTTTAAGGTGATAAGGATTAAGAAAAAAGTCCCTGTAATTTCCTCATGTCAGGAAAACAAGAAGCTTTTCAAGAATCTTCATCAGCTTCAGACCCCTTAAGACTGGCTTAAGATAAAAATCTTATTACAAGTCCAGAGAAGAAAGGGAATAAGGCTTTAGTCTTAATGGAAAGGGTAGAAATACTAAGCTCTATCTTGTCAAAATTTTATTTGATAGCTTACAGTTTTAAAACAAAAAAAGGTTTCACTCGTGACATACCAGTGATTTGCACAGTCACTGGTCTTCATAATGTCTTTGAGGAAGCAATAATTTACCATTAAGTAAAATTTAAAAAAGCTTATCATTAAATTGTTTCACATTGTAGAGGTAGACAGAAAGTGTTGCACTGGGGACCATAAGGTATGTTGTTATATTATCATATCACATCATATGTGATATTTAGGAGTAAAGAGCAGCAGCTTCCACATATTTTCAAAGTATTCATGTAATATAGGATTAGGAAAGTGACTTGACAAATGCTGCCACTTGCTGGCAAGCAGAGAAAAAGGACTTTCATGAAAACAGAGGTCCAAGTTTCAGAAGCAGCAGCAAGAATTGGGTTGCAGCACTCACTCCTTTGGCCGGGAGAGGAGCAGGCAGTCGTTGAAAAGATGTAGGTAGATCGGGCGGGTGGTGACTTTCCATTTTTGACTGAGGGTGTTGAAGTCCAGTGCTGTCAACTCACCACACTTCACAAGTCGCCTTGACTGCGAGATGAGTGGGAAAATCTGCAAGAACATAATGAACATTTATATTTGGAGTGCACAAGGAAATCAGCATCCATACCCACAGGATCTGCCTTTGCACCTTTCATTGGAAGCAGAGTATTTTTATCTCTCCATCTGGACAGTGGCGAGTCACAGAAGGACCCTTCAGCTCAAAACTGACACATAACGAGACAGGGAAAAGTGCTGGTGGAGCTGATGGAGCTGGCCTGTGTATGATACCCTGGCTTCTCAGTTCTGTATATGCTTGAGAGCATGAGGGCTCACCTTGCACTCAAATTCAATCTTCTGGCTGAGGTAGATCAGCTCTTCAGTGCTCTTCATGCGCTGGACATTTTCATTGCAATCCTTGATGAGCTGTAGAGGAAAAGGAATGATTTGTGAGCTGGAAGCAGAACTGATAAACTGATAAGTGGAACCAACAGTACTATGGGGTGGGAGAGGGGGGCTGAAAAGTCAGTGCAAGTAACACAATCCCATGGGCATCTTCCTTCTGAAAAAAACTTTGGGTAAGAGAGCATACTAGGCTTCTTCATATCTACAAAGATATGAACTTCTTTCTTAAGGACTATGTTTTTCCAGTCTTGTTTTAACTTTGGGATGCTAGGGGAAGGTGTTAGAGATTCCTCTTTTCTGGTAAGGGAGACAATTGCTGGGCGTTTGGATGTGGCTGCTACTACAGGCTGAGCTGTATTAATCCACAGAAGTCTGACTAGGTAAACATTAGTCCCCCAGTTTATCACAGTCCAAGTTGCTGAAATGAAGCACTGCAGTCTAAGCAGCTGACTGAGGTGATACAGCTTAACTGTAAAACGATATTCAAGTACACAATATGCATACCCAAAACAGGTGAAAGAAAGCAAAACAAAACAAGTCCTAGATATACAGCTGGCTTGAACACAGCTGGAGTCTAAGGATTCACTGTATGACATCTTACCCAAGGAAACATGCATCCTGTTAAACTGCTCTGTAGGTTTGCAGGGGAGAATAGGCGAGGAATTTTAAGACAGGGAATTACACTCCAGGAAAGTCGAATGATAGCTAAATGGAACACAAGCTTGCTGCAAACACATTTCCTTTGTGCTACTGAACTAATTCCAGATGACAAGTTGTCTCTTGACACCTTTGAATCTTGTCTCCTTACCGAATAGATTAGAGGAAGGAATGCAATGGACAGAATGCTGTCTTGCCATGACTTTTTAAATTTTTTTTTTCCCCAATCAAGACTTTTGGGAGTGGTTAGGAAGTAATAGCAGATTAAAAGCAAATGTAAAGACCACAGAGGGGAAATAGTGATCAGGAGACTGAAAAGAGTCAGAGAGTTCTGAAAAAACTAATGTGATATCAATGTTCCAGCCTCCAATTGCATCCCAGCAGGCTCCTTCTTTAGTGATCTCTGCTCACAGGTACCAGTGGACATACAGAAGAGTCACAAGAACACAATATTTTTATTTATTTATTTTTTTAACTGCTGAGGATCAACAACAAAGGCCCTGAAAGGGTGAGGATCAATAGCACAGAGAGGCACATTTAGCAGCCCTGCAGCTGGGTGTTGGGACAGTCCATAGTTGTGTCAAATGGAATGATAGCCTTACCTTTTCAAGCGCATCATAAGCTTGTGTTGCTTGCACTTCCTCTTCAGATCCAGGCCTGGTTCTCTTCAGAATATTCTGCAGGAGAATATGTACATTCTTCATAATGCAGACAGGAAAAGCTAGACACAAGTTTCTGAGGAGGGGGAGGAGAGACAAAGACACCGAGATGCTGCCAGCCTAAAAGAAGGCTAAAGCAGTGGTAAGTAATGAGATATGGGGAAAAGACGACCAAAATCTAAGATGCAGAATCTAGCTGGCAAGCTGCACTGTACAGGGCATCCCTGAAAATTTTCATAGAACTGTCATGCACAATGACATGTACATTTGGCATGGGGAAGCAACCATTAATCCAGCAAAAAACAGACTTGTACAGAACTGTTCTTTGCTTGATACTCTTTTCCCTCTGTTTCATAAAAGGCATGAATAATCAAAAAGAAGAATTTCACAAAAGGAGCTCAAAACTGATTTGGGGGGAGTGGGATTTGAAGGTTGCTTGTCGGGAAGGCTCCTGTTACTGAATACTGCAGGCAAAGAGTAGAGACAGGCTGCCTTCCAGAAGGGAAGCCAAGGAATACTTATATTGTTTTGCAAGCAAAATGCCAAATTACTTCAATAAAATTGAAAGCAACATGTTCTGAGAAGACTCTAAATTATTTATTGGAATACAACTGAAACTGTGTTGCAACAGAGTATACAAAACTGCACCGACTTATAGGGGCTATCCTACCCAATTCATGGTGATGCTCTAATGCACAGCAGGTAGTTGGACGCTGCCAAATGGGTTTGTTTTTGCAAAGGTATATTAACAGTCTACACAATGGAGTAGACCACTTAAAGCATCTAGCCAAATGCATCGCGGATGCAATGCTAAGGTCTATGACGCAGTCACAGTGCATGAAGCTTGTTCATATTTATATGGCTTTCAGAACTTAAAAGGGTCGCTTGGGAGAAGCTGTAGAGCTGCAAAGAAGCAGCCAGTTACCTGTAGGAGGAGTTTAAGTCGAGTGATGCGCTGGAAAGGGAGGATGAGGAAGGATTTAAGTGAGAGGCGCTGGCATACTGGATCACTTTCCAGTCTCTCCAGGACTTGTTGGAATCCTGCATTTCCATTTCTGTGGGAGTGGTAAAGAGTAAAGATAATCTAGGCATCAGAACAAACAAATAATCTCCCTAAGGAGTCAGAGTGAAGGAGTACCAGATTTCAGGGAGTGCTGAAGTACCCAGCCACTGGGGTCAGCTTTTGTCTGTTTTGCCTGTGTGGCAAGAGATGTCAGGAAACCAAGACTCTGCTAAGGACAAAGGAATATGAGCTTCTAACAGCTACATAAGGCTGCCAGTGCAACTGTCATTTTATCTTTCTTCTTTGGGGCACAGTCCTCTGGAATAAAGGCCAGAAATAACACCTGTGTTGCATTTACCCATACCAGAAGGGCACTTTTCCCAGTGACAGTGATAGTTGGTGTTCTTTCCTTACACTAGAGTGTTACTCCTTCCTATTCTTTCCTCACTTCTGGAGTGGTCCAGATCCAGGAGCTTTACCTAGGGTTTAGAAACAGCTACCTTTCCCCTCTTGGCAAGGGCAACAGCAGAAGTGACCCTGCTGTGCTTATGTATGCACCTGCTGTGCAGCAGAAGGTTGCTGCTTCTGGGTGGAGCTGCCTTTCCCCCTGAATTGTCTCTAATCAACTTAGGCATAACCACTGCCATCCTGTTTTCTTTGTTGGACAAGCAGCACAGAAGATACAAGGAAGAAAAAATACAATATACAAGATACAGTAGGAAGAGAGCAGCATCAGAGATACTACAGTTTATGAGCGAGCACCAGCATTGCCAATCCCATCTCTTTGAAGATACAGGCAGGCAGGTTGTAGGCCCAGTAAAAGTGCCTCACAGGCAGCTCTTGGACCCACATTGCCCTAGACAGTATTCTTTCCACGTGCAAATAAGCCTTGCCTAAGGAGACCTTGCAAGACAAGGTCTCTGCCAGTCAGCAGCACCCAGAGACAGTGCTTGAATAACCTGTGGTGAACAGAGTCCTGGAAGAGATTTCCTGGGATCAATATATCCTCATTGAACTTGTCTTATTATGGAGGGAGGCAGTGCAGAAATACTTAGGAGGTTTTGCTCAAGACAAGGCCTATGCTTCAGCAATGCCTGGTTGGGGCACTGGGCATGGAAAAAGAGGGCAAGAGATGTTACTCCATCAGATACAGCAAGAAAAACCATATTTGTTCTCTGGCACCACGATTTTCATCTTAAAGGCTCCTGGATGGCCAGTTTAAGCCTGGCAAGATGAACACTTTTATCATCTTTTTCACGTCCTTAGTAAATTGAAGGCCACAGATTGAGAAACACTGTCTATGAGAGTCATCTTTGCCTTCTTCAGTACTGAACAGAGACACTCACAAGTTATTTATTAATCATTCCCTTTGTGATACTACCAAAAAGGAGCCTGCAGCAGTTCTGTCCAGCTGCCCCAACTGCTATCATATTTAAAGAGGCTCCTGCCCGCTCTGCTAGGAGCAAAGTGCCGGCAAATAACCTGGCCCCCTCTCCTGACAGACTGCACATCAGGAGCGCAGCAAGGAAGACATGGGGAGGGGACAAAGGCAAAAAAACCCCAAAAAACAAAAAATCCAAACGCAAGATGACTCACAGTAACCGCTGGAAGGTTTGCTCCTGGTACGTCTGGTTTGTCACATACGGTAGATAGACCCTCCGGAACTCGGGGGCATGTTTCAGAGCCACATCGCACACGTGGAAGGTGAACATGTCCTCCTCAAATTTCTCCTCCAAATCAAAGAGGAAACTGCAGCACATTTATATTGCCACAAAAGGAGAGGGAAATACAGAGCATGGTGGTCAGTGTTATTTAGCAAAATCTACAATCTTGACAACATACTATATAAGCACAAATACCTCTCTACTTTTAAAGTGAGTGCTATGCCTGTATGATGACAGTTTAGGATTAGATATTCACTTATGTTTAGCAAGGAAGAAGCAAAGGCAAAATGAATTATTGTTTTTGTGAAGTCCCATTTGCTACTTCTTCAAGTATAGGCATCAAACAGTTGAAAGTCAGATAGCACCATAATATTCATACCAATAGGAAAAATTAGCAGTAAACCTTAGGATGGGATGTAGGCAACTCTCATGGAAGGAAAGCAGAACAAAACCCTGCATTGTACAGGATTCTTTGCATGCGGGGTCATGTCTAAGTTTATGACTTATGCTCAGTTAGGATCTGTCAAACGATGCTGTAATTTCTGCCCCCTCCCCCCCCTTTTTTTTTTTTTTGGGGGGGTTTTGGAGGTGGAGGAGGTCAGCAGCTGTTTCTGCTGGAGCTGCTTCTGCCTTGGCAGGAGATGCATTTGGTTTTAAACTGAAGACTAGTTAGTCAGGTTTGATTATAGTTAGGGCCGACAGGGCTTGCCAACAGCAGTACACAGTTGCACAATTGCATCATATTTTCTGAGACCTAACACCAAGATTTACATTGCCCTGTCACCTAAGAAAGGGAAACAGTTCCTTTCAGAGCAGTGTTTAATCTATCACAAAATGCTATATGTGCGCATCTATCTTAATGTCAGTGACCCTGGAGAACAAGGGTGAGACGAAATTGATAGATCGGTAGTTTCCAGGCTGCATCTGTGCTTCAGAGAGGGGCATTAGTCCTGGAAGTCAAACAAATTGCATCTCACCTAGCACTGACATCACGTACATCCTGAAGACGGGAAAAAAGCCACTGGCGCTCCTGGTTGGTGAGCACTGCCTGGAGCTCAGCTGATCGCTGGAAGTGATCCACAGCCACATTTAAACTACGCAGGTAGGAAGCCTCAGACATTATCAACTCAAACTTGGCCTTGAGAGGAAAATAAAAGAAAAAGGCATAGTGTTAGCAGGCTTGGCACGGCTGGGAAGAATCTGACTGAGATGACGTTGAGGCGTAAAGCAGGAAGACTTCCTGATACACACTGTTTACACCATGTAACGTTATATGAAACATAGGAGGTCAAGCTCTTCCTAACTCAGCATGTTGCGATTTTTCTTCTCTTTCCTCAAGCCTTCACGTACTTTTCAATTCCTCCCATATTCCTTCCATTTTGTATCGTTTCTCTGTGTACCATTTTGCTGAACACCTGCCTTACTTTTCTCTTTCAGCATTGCAGTTCACACATGCCAATTCTGTAAGTTCACACTGTGTTACAGGAAGTATAGTTCATTATGGTTTCATATATGCATTTCTCGTAAGTTGGAGAACACTAGAAGACTTCCTTAATAATCCGTCTTACAACGACAATGCTTAAAATTCCTTCTTCCATCTCAAAAGTGTTCTGACTTCCCCATGTTTTTCTTTATTCCATGAAGTTACTGGTATGTGGAAGTAATTGATATTTTTCCTATGAATTACTGATACCTACTGATACCTAGTAAGATACCTTATTCCAGCACTCCTGCTAAAATGGTGAACTTCAAGAAATATGTTACTACTTATCCATTGCTATCAAATCTTCATATCTCTTACATGATTAGCTTTAGTGACCTCTGCATTCAACCATCTGCATTCCCAAATTGTGTATTTTTCCTCTCCACTTCAGTCATACCTCTGGGTCCTTTCTCATGAGTAGAAAACATTCATAAGAAAGATACCTTATCACATCTATCCATTACCTCTTGCAGCTTTTGCTCATCATGGGACATGTTGAGTAGCATTCTGCTTCCTCGTATCATAGGGATGTCCTGCCAGAGGGATGCATTAGATGAGACTGACAGACGTTGCAAATATGAGTCCTGAGGAGAGAGCACTTTCCTCCGGAGCCGTGGGGAGCTTGGGAAACTTGGCTCTATGTCCTCTGAGAAAGAATCCACTCTCTTCTGGTTCTGAATGGCCTTGTTCAGAACCACATCACTGTACTCCTGATACAGCAGCCTTGCTGTAAAGAGAGGCACATGTATTTATTCTTTCTATAGCAGCTGCTACTTCAGTTTTTCTGTCTGAGGAAAGCACTGTAACTGTCACTGTTTAGGCTAACAGAATGCATTAGACCTGCAATGAGCAGAGCTCACCATCACCAAATGCACTGCTCACCCCCATTAAACACTCTCATTAACACTCCCTGAGTGCTACTGTGTGGCCAAAACATCCGCATCCCCTCCGCTTTGTGCTTATTGCATAGGTGGGAAGCGATGGAGGGTAGGGGGCTGCCCCAGCACCTCCAGCAGGAGGTACTCACAGGAGTTGATGAGTTTCGAATGGCGTCGTTTGAAATTCTCCCTTGCATCTGCAGGTTTCTTCTCTCTGTCAGAGAGAAAGGATTTGGAAACAAAGAGTGAACGAAAAGCTGGCTTATCCAAATCTCAGCAAGAGATCTCATACCACAGGTACTTCTCTCTCCAACAAGCTCAAGCTCCATATGCTTTACTTCCATTACAAAGGTCAAGATTTGGCTTGACAGAGGCACTGTGTCAAAGGGGCATGCATACTGCTGTTGCAAAGGGGATCTCTTTCCAGAAGGTATGGACACATATGCCATTTTATTACAGCTTTCTACTGCTTATCATCATCTTTGCTTCCTAAGGAAGGATGCAGATTTTCAGGTGTCTGTGCTACATAATGCTGGTGGTGAAAGTAGAGGGGACTATGAGACTCACCGCATTATAACTGTTTCTGAACTGACTGCTGGCTCCCTGTGTGCCTTGGGTGCTTCTTTCTCTGGAGGGACAGCAGAGATTTCTGCATAAAAGACAAGAAGTAAACACAAGTTTGACTTTAGAGTCAAGCTACGAGCCAAATTATACATAGATACCACTTACCTAAACCCCACCTAATTGGTGGTTTTGGGCAAGCATACAGCTGCTTTCCTGACCTTCGAGTCAGCTACTTTCTGGCTTATTAATAATCCTTCACATTACAGAATCACAGAATCATTAAGGTTGGAAGGGATCCTCTAGAGATCATTTAGTCCATCTCCCTGCTCCAGCAAGGAGCACATGGCACAGGGTGGCATCCAGGTGGGTTTTGAGTACCTCTAGAGAAAGAGACTCCAGAACCTTCTGTGCAGCCTGTTCCAGGCTCATTGTAATTGAGCCTGTTCCATTGAGCCAACTGAGGCATTCCACTGAGCCTGTTCCAGGCTCAATTACTATGATTAAATAATGAATGCACAGTGCAAGTAGCTTTTCTTATCCAAGAAAATGGATAAAGCGACTTTCAGAAGTGACGGGAACTCTAGAAGCTTCCATTTCCAATTCTCCAAGTAAAGATACTGTGTATGGGTTCTGTTTTATAAGCTGTACTTCCCCTTTTGGCAGTGTGGATCAGGCAGCTGAAGACCAATGGACCCCAAGTTGCTAGCCATGTCTGAAAGTCTTATACTTCCTTTTGCAGCCACTGAGCCACAAAGCTCTCTGTGATTTCTGTGGTATAAATACTGAGAATCTAAAAGTTACACATACCAAGAGTTTTAGAGGAAGTGCAGTCTAGTGGATCAGGCATGAGAGCAAACGTTGCCATCTACTATGCATCTACTACATGAGTGTTTACAAAGTGCTGTTTTTTGAGTCAGCTTCTGTTTATGTAAAATGGGGAAAGTATGGGCTTTTGTTCCGAGAGACCCTTAATTAAAAAAGGATTGAAAATAAACACATGTGACAAATGCTTAAAGCATGGGTAAGAAGCAAGATAATATTGTTGCTTTTAATGTTAACATTTGTAATTTACAGGTTAAAACTATGAAAAAAAAATCTTCATTTACATGTTAAAGCCAAACTCTTTGCATGCCTTACGCACCCCTCCTTTTCCTGTACTCCAGCATTTGGTTAAGCTTAGAAAACAAACTAAAGAGCTAAGACCATCATGTTAGAAGTATAATTCATGTAAATAAATATAGTGAAGAACAGGCATGCATCCTCACAGAAAATACAGCCTGAATGAGCTTACAGAGGATGTAAGTTTTCCATTCCTGGCATCACCGAATCAGCTTTTACCAAAGGTGTGATATTGGATTTGACAAATCCAATCTCCTATCTGCAATCTCAAATTGCATGTTCTCAGGAGGATCATCTCTTCCAGAAGGCCAGATTGGAACCTAAGAGCATGAGTTGCAAAATAAAGGGAGGTAGCAATAAACAGGGAACTAAAACATGCTGCAACAGATATAGGCTGCTAAGGGTGTGTGCATGCATGTTCCTTAGTGCTTGGAAATGAGCCATTACTGATATGCAGCAACATGGAACAGCCATGCGAAGATGGCAGAGGTGACTAGTAGAAACTTAGGAATCGAGCTCTAAGAAATTGATTCCAGCAGGTATGCCAAAATAGCCTGTGTTATTAAGCAAGCGCAATAGGTCATTAAACATGGAAGAAATTTAGAAGAAACATGATACAAGGTTAAAGGACAGGGGAATTGGAGCTGTGTGCTTGGAAAAGGACATCAAGGACACAGGCTAGAGTGAGAAGTATTATCAGAAACCAGAAGTGACAAGAACAGTGCCAATACCTCAACTCTCATACCATATTGCCTATTTCAAGTTTTGGCATCAGCAGTAAGTTTTGGGGACAGGGGAAGGACTCACCCTGCAAGATGTCTGATGGTATTGATATTCTTTTCAGGCCCTGACGATGCCAATCCTTGCTTTTCACTCGACGTTTAACTGGGTTTTCTTGACTGGCTACTGGCTCCTGTGGCACCACTCTGATCAATTTTTTATCTGGCCAGCTTGATGATTTTTCCAAGGGTGAATGTCTGGTCACTTCCCCCATTGGCTGAGCTACTGAATGCTGTTGTTCTCTTTGTACTTTCAGCCTTTGCTTGGCCCTCCTCTCAGCTTCTGTTTTCTCTGTAGTCACTGCCAGAGCAGAGATGTTCTTTGTGTCCATGGTAAAGATGTCTGCCTGTTGCATCCATTGCATCTCCCCTGAGACCTCTTCTTCACAGGTTGTTCTGGTGGTTGGTGGCGACGGAGGGTTGAGCCGGAGGAAGTGGATTGGATTGGTGAATGCTAGCATTGGAAGCGGCTGTACGGAGTCTCTGTTCTTGGAGTCTGTGGACGTTCTCAGGCTTTCCAGTGAAGGCCAAGAGTTGTCATCAGGTGAGGACTTGCCATACTGTGGGTCCATATACTGATCTGTTGTTTCGGGGCTGGTGTCAGAGCAGCGGGCCAATGGCTCATTTGCCATGGCAGAAAAGTTTTTGGATAACAGACCAACCCCTGAATCATCGGAATTCTCTGTGTCCTGGGTACCTGAGTCACAGAGATCCCACTCTTTTGTTGCTGGAACAAGGACATCTTTCTCTTTTACTTCTGCATCAGGAGCAGAGGCCACAGTGTTAGAATCAGATACAGATGTGACAGTCTGGAGCGGGTGGCTCACAGTAGGGGGAATGTCTAGTAACTCCTTATTGTCTACAGCACAGTTTAGCTCTGAGCTGAAAAAGGGTACAGGAGCTGGTGGCTGGTCACTGTCAAGATCTGGAGCCTGGCCAAGGTAGTTTTCATTAAGTGCAGGGGCCTGATCCTGGCTGGGGCTTTGGGTGTGGGATGAAAGATTTGGAAGCTGTTTGGCATCAGGCTCAAACACCAGAGGTAGGCTTGATTCAGGTGCAGGAGAGAGAGATGGTCCTTGCTGTTTCACAGCAATTACCGTAGCTTCCTCAGAAGGCCAAGTTAGATTGCTCAAGACACTGGAGATTCTGGATCCTGGTTCTTCTTGGTTTAAATTCCAGTCACCCTGACCAAGGAAAGGTGTTTTTTGTGCCTCCTGACCCACATTTTCTTCCATTTTTCTTCCTTGGATAATGACAACCTTTTCTGGGGAGTTTTGGTACTGCTGAATTGTTTCTGGGTGGCTCAAGGGGGTCGAAGTCCTGTCTGGTGTTTGGGGTGATTCTAGAGGCCCTGCAACAAAACTCACTGTTCCTCCATCTCCAGAAGGGCTCTCTTCCACCAAAGGAGAGCTCATGTATGCTACAGAGAAAGAAGATGGGCCATGAAGCTCTTCATGAAAGCCTTCCTCAGAGGTAAGCAGTTCGTGGGCAATGTAGGCCTCCCCCGAATCTGTATTTAAAATTTCCTTTTCCCCCAGTGCTAGGTCCGGCACACACAGCAGAGCAGCTTGGTTGACTGGCCTCTCTACAGAACCTGACAATTTGTCCAGGTTGCCACCAGGACAGTCCTCACAGCTCACAGAGGGTGTTCCATCATCATCATCATCATCCTGTTTCTGTGGGCCAGATGTTGAAGCTAAAGAGGTAATCTCTGAGTGTAGAACTGGAATGAAGCCCTGAAGCTCAGATTTTCCCATATTTTCTGTAATAGGATGAACATCTGTGGGATCAGGTGGCTTCAAGTTCTTGGTACCAGAGGAAGAATATGCTGGAACAGAAGCCTCCAAGTTCTCTGCACTAAAGGATGCTGCCATTCCTTCACACAGTGGTGCATTTCTTTTATCAAACTTCTTTTCATGTCCATCACTGTGCTCATCCTCCTTGCTCAGTCTTGTTTTGTCATCCCAGTCAGCTTCCGAGCTGTCCTGACCACTGATGGAGAAGCGGCCTGAGTCTTCCAGGTCGGCTGCCTGGTCAGGGACACGGCATGTGCATGGGGACATCACGGGAGTTTCATCTATGCGGTTCGGGCTAATCGATGACAAAGGACTTGCAGCAGCTGGTTGACTTGCAGAATCCGCTGCTCTGGCAAAGGCTGTCAGCAGCACATCTTCATCAGGCTGCTGGCTCTCAGAGACAGATTCTTCAGGAAGAAATGCTGGTTCTGTTTGCTCAGGTGAAGAAACATTCTTCAAATCACTCAAGTGTCCCCTGTGCCTGGAAGCAGTTGATGTCTCTGAACTGAAGGCTGACGACAGAGCCCTTCGGTCAAGCTCTTCCTTTGGCAGTTCTTGTTCTAGCTCATTCCCTTCTTTGTTTTTCTGATCTTTTGTCTCTAGCTTTGGTTCTTCTTTCTCTCGCAGATTCTGCTGTTTGAACTTTGTCTCCTTCTCTTCTTGCTCTGCCTGCTGAAGTTCATACACTGCCTGATCCAGTTCTGGGTCCTCATGTTTTGGTTGCTTATGCTGTGAAGCATTTGTTTTCTCCACTTTTTTAACAGCATCCTTTGTTTGGATGGCACACAGTATTGGAGAGGCAGGTCTGCCTTCCAGTTTTCTGTAGCCATCTTCCTCAAGACTAAGACTTTCAGAAATGGATGAGTTTTGCTTAATGATCATCACTGTTCCCTGCTCCTTGGCCATGCTGCTGTTTCTTGTCTCATTTGCTGAGATGTTCTCCTTCACATATAGTGAACTTCCTTGGCTGTCATCTATTAAGCTGGAAGACACATGGTGGGAAGACTCTGTATCCCGTTCCTGACCCTGTAGTGTTCTTATGTTTTCCTTAGTATCTTCAGAAGTGTTAGGTTTAGCCATGTCTTCAGCTGCTGCCCTTGAGATAGCCTGCTCATCAGTTGCTGGTACCACTTTTGTGCTGTTTTGTTGCTCTCCAGTAGCTTCAAACTCCTGCAAAGGTTCTGTCACGATCTTATCCAGAAAAGGCTCGGCCTTATAGTGGCCCTCTGAAATGGTTTTACACACCACAAAACACTTAGTTGGTTCTCTCTGAGAGGGAGGGGAATCAGGTAAAGGGGATTTTGGACACTGGGCCTGAGCATGAGAGCTGTGAGAAGACATTTGTTCCACCTGGCACTGAGGACATTCAGGGCTGAGGTCCAGAGCCTGCAGGATGATGTCGCCATCCTGGACCGTGCTGGGAGAGGAAGAGTCCTGATTCCTTTCCAGGTCCACAAGCCTTACTTGGTCAAGTTTGGGCGTGCAATCCAGCCCACCCTCCTCCAAAAGTATTTCTCCTTCGCATTCAGAGAGTCCCCTTTGACGCCTGGCACTTTGCTGCTCTTCCAGTCCTGCTGACACCTTTTGCACAGAGTTAGAGGTTCTGCTCAGCATCTCTGCTGACTGCCCTGGAGCAGAAAAGCAGTCCTGTGGCGAGTTAAGCTCTGATTCCTTTGCGGAATCAGTTGGGCTTGGGCTCATCTGTACTGATGCATGAGGAGCATGGTGTTCTTTTTTGGCCACCATAGAATCCCAGGCCTCCCCAGTGGTGCTGCTGGCTTCTAGGAGGGTGGTACCTCCCTCAACGGTTTCTTCAGACTCCATCAGTGAGGCATCCTGTCAATGAAAAAATGCATATTTTTGTTACCATTGCAGAATGATTTGGCAGGCTTAAGAAACTTTCAAACATTGTGTCCAAGAAAAAAGTAAAACACATACTCAGAATGATAAGAGCTGGAAAACAAACACTACGTATGAGGGTAGGCAAACACTCAGTAATAAGTATTCAGTATACAGTTATAACACTAAAATTACCCTACTAGTGCCTTGTTACTTTTATACGCAAATTCAGAAAGTGACTTTAGTCAAGAAATAGAGAGATGGCAGCGTCTCTACACCCATCTGCAGAGTAACTTCTGAAAAGCACTGGTCATTCCAAGCCACCTCAAACCCAAAGAACAAACCCAGAAGGCTTTCAGAGAACAAGGAAACCATCAAACAATCTTCACTAATTTTTGATGTGTGGTTGATGTATACTCACTGCCTCTTCCCGTGGTTAGCTGAGATTACTTAGAGATCTCGATATCAACAGAAGCGTGTGCTTTTAGAGCTGACTGGTCTCTTTACTGAATGTCTATGCATGTAGGTTTAATAGGGAAACTTACCACAAAACGATCACAGAAATTGATTCATGAGAACTAGGAACGTAAGCATTTAATTAATGGATAACTAAAACATGACATAAGACATAAGATACTTGAAGGCTCTAAACCACAAAGGTTCAAGGCAGTAACTATCGTGTGCATGGACACAACTACAGATTACCAAGAGAAATAAGATCATAATTTAGACTGTCTTTCCAGGAAAACAAAACAATAAACCCTCAGGATTGCTGGACAGTCTTCTAAAGGATGTACTGAAATTTCCCATGCATTACTGCATTTGAAGATCAAGCATGACAAAGCACTAGGGAATGTGCATTTGGGAATTTGTCTGAAATGATGGTAGAATCTGATTCATTATCTGATTCATTCCCCCCCCCCCCTTTTTTTTTCTTTCTCTGTATTCCACTTATCTACATATCCTGTGATTCATAGTCTCCTTAAGAAAGAAGGGAAAGAAACTAACCTTTTTGGCTCCACCTCCCCACCTTTCCTCTGCTTTGGAACATTTCTCTAGTATTCCAGCCCTTTTCACTCTATTCTCTATCCTCTGCTTACCAAAAAAAAATACAGCTTTTCAGTAATCTTGCAGTCATACTAAAGCACGTAAGGAAGGAACTACGACAATGAGGAGCCACAGTCCTAAGCAAAAGCCTCAGTGTTTTCCTCCTTCATCCCTACAATTGTAAAAGCTTCCAGATGCCAGGAGCCAATCCTGCAGCTTTAGGTCATATTCCACTTTTTTTTTTTTTTTAATCTGAAAAAGCACCAACAAACAAAACAAAATAAACCCCATAAAAGCAGCATCTTAGCAGCACAAAAGATCCAAGGCTCAAGAAAGTTCATATTACTTGTGCAATAAATAAATTATATAGATATATTACCTCTCAAAACAGACAACTAAATTCAGATAACATTTTAACAATCAAAATATCCCTATAAATTTAAGGTTATCAATTTTATGAGAACTTCGAGAAAAAAAAAAAAGAGTTGATCAGTTAAATTAATTCTTAGATTTTTTTCTCACATAATCTTTCATTTTAATAATCTAAAAATTGGATTATTTTGCAATCTGGATTTTTCCTTCCCCCCTCAACTTGCAAGTAGCTGTAAATAGTTATAACTTCAGCAAACATTATGTGCTTAAGAGCATATAATGGTTTGGAAAATTTACACAGACCTTCTGCCATATGTTACTGTTATCAGTCAGCAGTCAACTACCTTCCTGATGATAAATCATCTTTTGAAACTGTTGCATATGGACATAGGCACTGTTGCACACACACAGTGCTGTGAGGTTGCACAGAAACATAATCTAGCAGTACACAGAAAAGAGCAGGGTCATAAACTTGGAAGAGGTCACTTTGTCCAAGGCAGGGTCAACTCATACCACTGTCATCCCAAATAAATGCGTTTACCCTTCCTACACCGTAAACTTCATGATCACATCACATCATTCTTGTGCTGCGCTGTTCCTCCTGTCTAACTTGAGTCTCCCCTGCCATAGGGAAAGAGAAATACTGCTTAACACAGCTAATACACAGTTTTCAAAAATGGTCATCCCAAAACTAGAGAAGCTGTTGAAGCAATTTGGTGGCACTGGACAAAAGATGACCACTAAGGGGGATTTATCTGCATAGGCAGAATGCTCTAAAAGGTTTTGAATACCAAAATCCTTAAACCTGTCCTGTGAAAGGAAGAGCTCTTGCTCATTGAGCCATTACAGATGTAAACAACGCTGAGTTTCCTCTAACAAAGCTGAAAGTCTTAGCTTCTACTTCCTGGGCTCTGATGCCAAGGTAAAAGGAGTAGCGTAGAGCTGCAGCTGGAGCAGTTTCACAATGATCCTGGCGCACACAAGAACAGGGGGAGTGCACAGTGCGTTAGAAGTTGCCAAAGGGGATTTATCTTGTGTTACTGCTGTCAGGTATCATGCACTCCTCAGGAAGAACAAGCTTTGTTAAGTTAGACAGGAGAAGGGACAGGCAAACTTTGTGCAGTGACAGCAGAGAGATCCCAGACAACTGGTCTGGGACACAGTCAAGCTCCTCCTGGGGGCACCTCGGAGCACTGAGGTCAAAGCTGTAAATCTCTGCAATAAGGATTTCACAGAGATGGAAAGAAGTAACAAAACTCAACCTTAACAGCACCTATAGCAATCAAATACAGAGAAGCAGTATACAGGAGCCTAGTTAGTGGAAGAGATCCCCTTTGGAGCACTGCTGCATTATGTTCCAACCACAAGCCAGTTTGGTCCTCTACCCGAAAGTCTGCTTAGTGCTAAAGCCCATGAACTGGTCTTCATGGAGAAATCTTTTATTTAGCATTTGTAGCTCTTCTTTGTATCACTGTTCAATCTCACAGTGTTCAGGGTGCCATCTCTCCAGCCTATGCTCAGCCACGACTTCCGAAGGGAGAGGGGCTCCCAACCAGACAGGCTACCCACACGTTGCCCCCCAAGAGGGCCTGGAAGCATGAGACCTCAGCTCTCCACAAGGACATCAGGACGCAGCTGGTGTGTAATGTGTAGGTAATGCTGGATGGACAGAGGAGTGGCCGGGGGGCACAGCTGGCTGCATGCCAGCACAAAAACACACAGCGAATCGCTGTGGCGAGCAGAGAATCGGAAGGGGAATGGTTGAAGAAGGTGGCCTATTGAGTTTAACAGTGAAGGGTAAGAGTGAAAGCACCAGTGGACAAAGCAATTCCTGTAATGAATACATCCATATGCAGTTTTCCAAGATTACAGCAAACAACATAAATTATCATGCTTCTAACATGGATCAGTTCACCTGCAGAGAAAATGACAAGTATTTCTGTTTGTAAATAGGAAGTACCTAGTTATATCCCCTCCCCCCACACACTCCCAGAGATGGGAAGTCTGAGAGGTGGAGGGGAAAAAAAAAAAAAAAAGAGGCATGCTCAGGCACAGACAAGCCCTCTGGTTAGTCAGGAAACAAGGTGCTCCTATTCCTGAATTAATATATTCACACGCAGAATTAAACGCTGCATTAATCCTAAGTAACTCTAGAGGTACACAAGCCTCCCAGTCCTCACTCTCCAATGAGCGAGAGACTCCTGACTTTGCCATCTTCACCCTCCTGCACAACCCTGGCTTCCTGCCCTGCGCGTAGGCCCTGGTCCGCACTGGGGAGCTCCCCCTGTCCCTGCTCCTTGTGCCGTGAGCGGCGGCAGCGCTGGGGCGGCCGGGAGCAGGCGCAAACACTCCCTTGCTGCTGTAAACACCTCCTGGCTGAACATGCCCTGCCCTGCAATGAGGAGGCTGCGAGCTGGAGCTGCACCAAGGCAGGCTGCACACTGAGCTGCTCACCTCGCCGACCGCGTGGCCCTCTCCCGGGAACGGGAGCAACGCAGGCGACAGGGCAACCCGCGTCTAACGTGGCACCGGTCTCAGGCCCAGGTGCGCCGTGGCAGGGACACATTCCGCACTTGGCCTCACAGACCCACACCTGAAGCCGAGGGAGGAGGGAGTCGCTCGGGCAGCCAGGGACACACGCTGCTCACCAGGGCCTGTGGCTTTGCGCTTCCCCTACCCCTCTTTTGGAGCGCTCTTGTAACTTTGGGAAAGACAGAACAGCAAGAAATGGTCTGTAACAGATAGGAGAAATCTGCACTGCTTGCAGGCGGTTAGGCATGACTAAGGCCATTGATTTTTTTCTTTCATAACAAAGCCTGGGAATCAATGACTGGGACATACCCATGCCGATGCGACCTCAGCTTGGTGCAGAAAGGTTTAAGCCAGTTTCAAGGTGCTGCCGTGCAGGTACCAGGCAACAGCTGCAAGGAGGACATGGCACAGCACAGCACGTAACACCCACCTGACAGGGCACAGGCAACTCGAGTGTGCAGAGCCCCTTCTATTTCTTGCCATCTTAACTATATCTCCATCACATAGTTCAGATCTGGTTTAAGAGGAGTCAAGAGGGCTCAAGGCAAGCTCAGAACCTGCCTTTCAACACAAAATCCAGAGCTAATTTTGTAAGAAAACTGCTGCCAAACTTAACATCCCTACCTAGAAGTTATGTTTTAATTCAGTCAGGTAAAACACATTGAAAGGGGGTTTGGACTGCTCTGACACAAAGCATGCCCTACCACAAGGCTCATTTTTTATTTTGTTGCTCTCCAACAACTAGCTACTCGGTGTAGCTTCGCGGTGCTTTCTTGTCTTGATGCCCGCACCACAGAAGAGAAGCCTATTGCAAGTCTGCTGCCACAGTAAAGAGCCACTGGGTCCAAACTGCTGATCTCCAAGCACCACTGGGCTACTCTATCACTATACAGCCCCTGAAGAGAGGTGAAGCAGTAGGGTCAACACTTTTGAGCTCAGGAAGAGATTACACCAAGCACTAGAGATAAGAATGAAGAAGGGAACTAATGTTACTTAGAAATGGTTTTGGAGATATGGAGAACAAACAGAAGTTGAAGGAAAAAGCA